CTGGGCGGAACGACGGGCGCCGGGCACAGCGCGGAGCAGATCGAGAGCATGGAGCCGGTGAGAGACCGGGTCATCAGGGTCACATTCAACGCGGACGTGCATTCCAGCATCCAGTGGAACTTCAGACCCCAGCAGAGCGAAATCTACGTGAGTGCCTTGTTCTCGCCCCGCATACTGCTTACACCTGGAGCCAGAAGCGGTGGGGTTTGCCTCCCACGGTTTTCATACAATCCCAGACCGGGTGGGGTTGGAAGGGACCTTAAAGCCCACCCAGTCCCACCCCCTGCCATGGGCAGGGACACCTTCCACTAGACCAGGTTGCTCCAAGCCTCATCCAGCCTGGCCTTGGACACTCCCAGGGATGGGGCATCCACAGCTTCTCTGGGCAACCTGTCCCACTGCTCCCCACCCTCTCTGGGAAGAAAGGGAAATTTGGCAGCTGGCAGCCCAGTCGTGCAGAGCCACTGACTTGCACGTCTGGGCCCTGATTTGGAAGAACACACAGCTCAGGGCACCTGAGTCCTGTGTGCTTCCGCCGTACTTCCACCTCAGGAGTGTATTTGTGGCGCTCGTGGGCAGGGCAGGGCTGACGTCTCCTTCTACCAGAGGGCAGAAGTCTTACTGCCTCGTGTGCTGTAGTTAAAGTGCAGCTACCAGCCCACCCAGCTACCAAACAGGATTGCGATCAAAAGCATGTTTATATATACCTGTGGGCTTTGCCAGCCTTTCCCTCCAGGACTTCTTGCACCTGTAGTTTCTGTATTTTCAGAAAATGAACATTTTAAACTTTACTGTTTAAAAATCAGTTCTTAATAAAAGCTCACAGAAGGAGTTATGCTTCTTAATTGGCTTCTGAGTCAAGTAGCAAAATAAATCCTCAAAAATTAAGTGTACAACATACATAAACCTGCATATTAAAAAAAGCTCTACGCTGCTGAACTGCTGAGAAGACTAGAAGTCTGAGTGGCAAACTGGTTAAGGTGTAAAATGCACGTATGTAATATTATTGATGCTTTCAATTTTGAATAGGGGTGAACTGTCTATAAGCATAACACTTGTGAAGTACTGAAGTAACCAACTTTAAACAGCAAAAGAGAAAATGAACTATTTCTGGCTAAGTGCTGAAGAACTCTTCAGGGGAGGAGGGCAGCAGTGGGTTAAAAAAAAGAAGTCACTGTGCAGTTACTTTATCCTACAGGTGGTACCAGGAGAGACCGCACTGGCCTTTTATAAAGCGAAAAATCCTACGGACAAACCAGTAATCGGAATCTCTACCTACAATGTAATACCCTTTGAAGCAGGACAGTATTTCAATAAAATACAAGTAAGTGAACAAAGCAAAGATTACGTTTTCCTTTACATAAAGGAGAATCGTTATCCATAAGTAAGCTTTTACTCATTTCAGTCCTGGATACCACTCTCTGTAGGCCATTGTTCTAAGAAAATACCTTGTTTTTTCCCGAGCGGCCGTGCAGCAGTTCATTCTTGGCTTTATGACACTGAGGGCAGGTGCCAGCAGCATGAACCAGCCTGGCCAATCTATGCATTTGGGTACTTCACTAAAAGCTAGTGGGTTTTTTCCCTGTAACACAAGAGGAATAGAATTGTGGTCTTGCTGCTCATATGGTTGATCCCTTCCAGAATTTTAGGGACGTACAGGGAATAGGACTTGATTTTAAAAGATGAAGCTTTCTCTCGCGTTGGCAGAGAAAGCTTACCATAGCTATTGTCTAACTGTTTTTCTTTCCCCCCCTCCCCCATGCAGTGTTTTTGTTTTGAAGAACAGCGGCTAAATCCTCAAGAGGAAGTGGACATGCCTGTCTTTTTCTACATCGATCCAGAATTTGCAGAGGACCCTAAAATGGCAAAAGTTGACTTGATCACCCTCTCTTACACCTTTTTCGAAGCAAAGGAAGGACAGAAGTTACCACTTCCTGGGTATCAGTAATAGACAATCTGTACACAGTTGGACTCTTCTGCTACCTGACTTCCAGTTTTGAAACCCATTTTTCCCTGGAAGGAACAACTGTGGGAGTACTGTGCGGTATGAAATTACATTAAACCACCATGGACACATGCTGTTGTTATGAAAGGATATATTTCAATTTTTTTTTAAATTAAAACTTACACGGTTGCAATATTATTTCTTAGGGATAGTATTTCTTCATCAGACGACAGAACGGAATGCGCTATTCCTAGAAGAGAGAGGGTTTTCCTGTTCTTTCCATAAAGTGATACATGTTACCTGAATACCGTGAGGCAAATTTTTAAACCCAAGTGTAAGTTGAGGTCATCATTTAAATACAGAGGAACAAATCAGTTCATTACACACCTAAAACTGCTGGCTCTGAAGAGTAACTTCCATGCAAGTTACTTTATAAAAACAGATAATTAGTTCATGAAGTCTCAAAACTAAACAAGGTTAGTCTGCATTGCTGTGTAACCCATGGCACAGGAGGATCTGGTGCTTTTGATGGTGATGCACCCTCTAATTATTACTGAATCAGTAGTTTATTTGGTAAGAGCAGACTGCTCTAGAACTGTTACCATTTGAATGAGGGGCAGTAGTGTAAATGTAAGTACAGCAAACCTGTGGTTTCCCTTCAGAAATACCATCTTCAGACCTTGATGTTGTGTTCAGCTCATTTAAGATACTGCTAACTGCAGAGGGCTGCACCCTGGGCGCCTTTACACCGAGACAAACTCAGCTCACGTATGAAATGCTTTGAAGGGAAAGGCACACAGACAGCTGCTCTAAGTTGCAGGTTAAATTAATAGGAGTCTCCTCAAAAACCTGAAGGAAACCAACCCCATTCGGAGGTTAAGTCTGACAGAGCCTGCCCAGAAGCATCTCGGTCGTTCAGAGGTACTCTGCTTTCCGTCAGAGCACGTAAGCCTGTATTTATGTACCTTTTGGTCACTGTCTGTGGGGTAGGGATAATAACACTTTATCACAGCTTTGCAGATGGGGAGTGATGTGCAGAACAAGTGGAAGTGACCTCATTTTCAGGCTGGAATTTATGTCAGCCCAGTATGTCGTCTGCTAGGCCAGTTCTTTCTACCCCTTTCAGCAGATGAGACCTAACGTTCGTTCGTTTGGAGTCTGAAAAGGTAAAGGGTATAGCTGAAGGAGCTTCCAGTTACTCCAGTCCCAATTAAGTTTGATACCATAATTGAAAAAGTGCTTTTTTGAAAATAAATGGATGCTACCTTTAAAATGCATTATTGCACCAATTACACGTGGTGGTTAAACAGATTCTGGATGTCATTCATGTCTTCGCTGTGAAACTGAAATTAAAGTTTTAAAACTTTTCATTCTTTCACCTGTGATGCATTTTATCCAGCAGAACATGTGAGGCCCACACAGGTGCAATACATCTGTATGAAGCTTTGTATGCTGCACTTACTTTTTTTTCTCCTGAAGAATAACTGTAAGAGGAAAAAAAGAAATCAAGACAAACCTTTGTGCCTAGGCTAGGAAAACAAAAATAATTCTTACTGGGGTTGTCTTGAGTCCATTGTCTTTGGAAAGCTGAACCGATGATGGGAGCTCTCCACACTGCTTTATTCTGGCCATGTGCTTCAGAAGAAAAAGAATATCCCCACCCCCCTGCAAGTGCCAGTTTTGTAAAAAACAGTTTTCCCCCCTCGAGTTTGAAAGCTCAAGTTTGCACAGATACTGAGCACATTCTGACTACAAAACAAGCTCTATAACCTCACTAATTAACCAGTTCCCTTCCAAGCTTTCATTTATCCGTGACCACGCTGCTTTGTCATACATGGAAGAGTTCAGTTTGCAATCGTCCGCCATGGATTTCCGTACCGAAACGGCCTATTTAAATTGGTTACGCTTCAGTGTGCTGGGGTTTGAACAATACAGCCAAGCTGCAGGGGAAAAGCTATCAGCCCACCTCCAATCCTATTTCAGTGGGTTTCTCTGCCGAGCAGAACGCTGCAAATAACACCGGAACAATAATCGTAACCCAGCTTACAAAAAACCCCCACAACCCAAACCTCAGGTTGGCTTTTTATAGAATTAAGGTGTACTCATGGCCCCGCAGCAGGCTGCCACTGTACGAAGCATGCCATGAAACACAGGGATTCACACCAAAATACTTCCAGGAATATCAGCTTTTGGTGTTTCATGGCATACACGCATCATCTGGTAAAACTCGGATGCGACAGGGGTTAACTTCTCAGCATTGGCTTTTATTTGGAATTTTATGCTACAAAATTGCATAACTGACTGAGAACTTATCACTTAAAGAGATAACATAATGGACATTTAAAATGCAGTACTTCACAAAAGAAAATTATAGCTTATCAGCTATGAACATTAACTAAATTCTCAGATTTTGCATCAACTATAAATTCAGAGAACTGTATCTCCTAAAGTGCACATCTTACATTCAGCATTAAAATAGGTAAGGCACTTTTAATTATTAAAAGATAAAACTGTTATTAACAGGGTTAAACAGCTTGATTAAAATAAACGGGTAACTACTGCTCATCTGCATTGTAGATGATTATTTTTTCCTTCACCAGAACAGCAATCTCTGCAGGGCAGGAACATCAATCCCCCTCCAATATTTACGGAGTAAATAAAGCAACAACAACAGAGGAACAAGCAGGGGGTTTTCTGTTCCGTTAATCAGGGATGGTAGCGCCACATGTCCCAGCTCAGGCTCTTACCACGACAAAAACCCAGCTTATTGCAGGCTTTTTGGAAGAAAACAAAGTCTGTGTTCAGAATACGACTGCAGGAAAGCAACACTGCATGTCTTCACATATCTACCAGGAGGCCCAATTTTAGGAGAGTCCTACATATCCAAACCCCCTTATAAATTTCTAGGGAGATCAACACAGAAGTGTTGAGGCTAAAATAGAAACTGGATCCTGCGACTTCCGTAAACACAACGTTCTGTTTTGTTGCTGTGTAAAGAGGTAAAGCAATACAAAGGAACAGTTAACTTTGAAAAAAGCTTCTGTAAGTCACAAGAGCCCTTTTTGGTTTCTTGTGTCATGTGTGAGCTTATACATGGCTGAACTCGGAAATCCTGTTTTAAAGGCCCCAATATTTTCAAAACACTCACTGAAGTCACCTCGAAGAATAAACAGTTGAACATTTAGGACAAATTATCAAGGTGTGGATACAAGTAACTCTTCAACTTCCACACAGCTTAGTATTCCGGTACTTAAATAAAAACCTGTTGTGATTCACTTGCACGTGGCAGGAAGCACGGTACAGGACCAGCGGAGAACAACGAGCGCTCAGTAAAAGACTTCGCCTCCACCTTCAGCAGTCTGTGTTCTTTTTAGCTTCTGTCTTCAACACAACATCAATTTCTTCATAAATAGCTCTGAAAGAAGAGGAACAGGCCAACTACGTTGCAGTTTCATTTTTGACAAAAATGCACCAACAAAATCCTGCCCGAGCACAAACTGCCAGGATTTTATTCTTTGCTTAACGGCAGCATCAGTTGCAGGATGCCCAGGTTTCCAAGGAAACCAAGAGCCAAATCCTGTGGTGCAGCTGTGATTATTCACGTACTGAAATACCTCCAGACATTGTCACTTCTGATGAAATGGGTTTGGGAACACGAATGCAAAATGCAAATGGCAAGCATACCACGTGGTGTGCAATTACTGCAGCAGTTTAATAAAATAAAGCTTTCTTGAGATTTTTCTACCTCAAGAACTTTGATGGTTTCTTGGAAATAAGTTTTGTGTAGATGGCTCAAATTTTTTGCAGGTTACTGGTAGGAAGGAGAATTCTGCTATCCGTTTGGTTTCCCATTAGTTTTCTGCCTGACTGCTTGGCCCTCTGGAGAGTCGCAGCATCCACTCCCTTCTATAGCTTATATTTGAACTGAGGATTTTCTAAATACACGCTACAACGACATTCTTAAAATCACGATTGCTGTGAACAGGAATTACACTGGTGACCTTGCAGCACAGGTAGTTCTGGAGAAACGTCAATCAGTTTCCTCCACCAGGGCCCTTACCATGTTTGATTCACCTTTTGCCATCACTGAATCGGATTTTAGTAAACAGTTTTTGACACAGCATTAATCCACCATTTTTACACACGAACACACTATAAGAGTTTATTCCTTAATTAGTTATGCCAGAAATATTGGAAGAAAGTGTACAAAATGCAGCCACTCATTTACATTAACGATCCAGCTGGTCAGCTAAGTCAGTCTAAATAGTGTGGTCTGTTTTCTCGTAAGAAAAAGCCATCTCAGAAGCTTGCCTTTGGTACCTAAGAAAACTGCTTATTATCTATTTTAAAAGTTACTTACTCAGTGGGAGCCAAGGGATCAAATTCCATTATCTCATAGTAATGAGGTGACTGTGACTTGTTCTTTGATGCAGCTGAAGAATAGAGACAGGCAGATAAATCCAGATTTACATGTCAGTCAAAAGCACCCTTACTGCATTTTGGTTTTGTATCTTCCTGAAAGTAGCACGTTATCTCCTACATATCTAGTTGCTTTACATGCTGAAGTGTGTAAGAGAAGCCTTGAGATTTTGGCTGTTAAAGACTAGGAGCAGCAAAACACCGTGACATTATGTAAAGCCTTTACGTTTTAGCAAGAAAAATATCTCTCTGTGAAAGTTAGGTGGTCTGCAGTATTTATTACCTGCTGGTGATGGCCCATTTAACGATGCAGTGTGTCCAGCCTGCAGATTTACTGGATTCAGAGGCACTGGGCTTAACAGAGTCGCCAGCTAAGGACATCAAGCAAAACAAAGAGAACTGGTTTGACTTAACTTACATATGTGCTGACCTACCTTTAGACTGACTGTAACAGCTAAATACAAGGTTAACAGTTATCAGTCTAATTAATCTCCGTTCTCCACAAAAAGTTCAAAGTATCTTTTAGTGTTATCTATAGCACATTTGACTAATTTACTGCTGTGTAATTTGTTCCATTACACACACCCCAGGACTGCAGTATTCACAATACAGGTATCTGCTTTTACTCGTGGTTTAAAACAGGGAATATGCACGTGTGTTTGGAGGCTGCTGCTCATCTTATTATTTCATACTGCCTACCACAGAACAGCATTCAAATTCGTAACAATACCTCAAAGCCCCTTCATATTCTTTCCATTTTGTGTCATGGGTATTTTGTCTGCAGCAAATGCAGATAACTTGATTTCTAAGGGTTTGTTTGGTTTTTTTTTAATAGCTTATTTGAGATAGGAAATACAGTGAAGTAACCAAACGGCAGCAGGAGGAGAGATCTCTGCTTGCTTCACAGAGCAAGAGATCAAACACAAGTAACACAGCAATTGCTTTCTGCAAACTCCTGAGATTGTGCTGGACCCAAGAATATATGCTTTCATATTAGCATCTGTGGTATCAAAAGAGGAAAGTTGACCTGGCCACCAAACTGTTCCCTGATGTACGGAGAAGGGCCACAGAACAGATCTTTGTATCCCATTTGGACAGGAGTCAGGGTGAATCCCAACAGCTTGTATTTTGACAGTTGCTATCCCAGAATGATGAATCTGATTATGTGCGTTACTCACATTGCTATACGAATGTCCAGCTGGGTTGCTCACACTATTGTTTTGTGCTTCAGTTGCAAATCTAGGAGAGAGTAATACAGTGAAAGTAACCAAGAAACTATTAAAACTGTACATTCTGATTGTTACATGATGTTTTTTGCTGGTCTGTCTTTACCTTCTATCACAGCTGAGAACAGCATGGGCAGGTGGGCAGTGTCCCATTCATGGAAAAGATAAGGAACTACAAGGATACCTCTCCTATCGTAAACTCTTCTTCCTGACCTGTACAAGTCATGTGTTTCTCCCTTTCACTGCAGCATGGCAACACTCGAGCAGAAAGTCAGATATATCTCAAGTATGCTTTGATTCTTGAGACAAATTTATGCCTATGACTCAGCTGTGCTGGAGGAGCAGTGTATTTTTAAGCACATTAAGCTATTTGTGGCACACAGGTAGTTTTCACTTGTTTTACTGGACTAATGTGCAAAAGTAGACAAGTCTGTTCTTCGAGCTTTCTGTAAACTCATTTTAAGAATTACAAAGTACTAACACCTCAGAAGATCTCTTATCAAGAATAGTAACAGATAACAGATTACTCACGGGAACTGATGAGGTTTTGTAGTAACTGCTAAATCTAGCTGTGGATAAATTGATGGATGGTGCCTGTTTTTATCTTCAGGGTGTGCGGGTATGCAATCTGAAATTCAAAGCAGTAATTAAAGATCATTTAAACATTATTAAGTTATATTAGTTACTTGTACTGAAAGGGTAAAATTTTGTTTGGAAGACATACAAAGAATCTGAAACGAATCGCTGTGTGTCACATGAAAGGCAAAACTTCAATAACTGTAAGTAGTTTTTAGATGCAATATGTCTCTTTAAAAAGTCAGAACAACATCAGTAGTGCTATACATGGTAGATACCACTTAGAACTCCTTTCACTATTTCTAAAAGATTAAAATGCAATTATAGGCATTTATTCCTGGGGGGACATGCACACCTTCAGCATACGGACACCCCTAGAGTGGACAAAGGAAGGGTTTCTGCCAACAGTGATTCAGGGTACCACAGTTAGGAGCTTTACTCACGCCTCCAACTATGAAAGCAGTGTAAATTTACAGGAGATAAGTACCTTTCTCAAAGTGAACTGTTTCTAACACCCAGTGCCTCCTGAAGAAGTTTAGGACATCAAGAAGGTATGAGAAAAGCCTATCTGTTTCTTTTGTCCAAGCCTACAGAACAAGTAACTACCAAACTGTTGCACAGGCTTCATTCTAACAGCAAACAGAGCACGTTCAACTGTTCAAATTTATATAATGGGGAAACAAAGATACTGCTTCCATTGTAAACTAATTACAGAGAACCTTATTCTATCTTACTTTTTTTTCCTATATACACAACAATTCTCCTTCTAAGAATATTTAAGGAACATCGTTAATGTGTATTTTTGCTTTCCTTCTTACAAGGAGCTTCTTGATTCCTGCACTAAGCCTGCTGGTTTGCTTTAGGAAGCCAGACTGAAAGGGAAAAGCACATTCATCACTTACTAAGGCCTGCAGGAGACACTGCAGAGTCAGTCTGCACCACTGCAGACACAGGAGATGGAGAATCTACCGAGAGGTCAAGTAGATCACTTGAGGGAGCAGATGGCTGTTTCCTGTACAGCTTAACATTTGAAAAGGAATAAAGTTATTTAGGTTTGGCTTGTGGTTGTTTTGTTTGTTTTAAAGGAACTTAGATAGTTTTAAACAAATGGCTATTTTCACAGAATATAAACTTTAAAAACCATACTGTTGAAAACTGTCAAGTGTGAGAGAACCAGCATTTTTGTGTGAAAGAAAACTAGTGAAACAAAAAATGCTTTCCAGAAAAGATAAGTCTCTGCAAAGTTGTTATTTCAAAAAATTAAGGAAAACAATTCTCAAGTAGGAAATAGAACAGTCTCAATTCTAAAACGCAAGTGTGAGCTTGTTTAGATATGGGTTTGATACTGATCTTCTGACTGATCCTGTACAATTATTTTCATGCTACTTATTTGTGTTATTGTGATTTGATACATACTTAGGAGAATTTTTAGTCCTCTTTTGGAGAGAAGTTTAAAATCACAACAATGTTTCGCAGGAGACTGAAAAGGGTTCCTTTTGTTTCTCCTGTGAATGTGTTAAAATTAAAAAATGTTGCCAACCAAGGATTTTAATAAAACCACATGCTCGAATCACACTGGTCTGGTCACATCAGATTAAAAAGGAAAAGAAAACAACAAACAACAAAACAAGAGAAAAGATGATTAATTTTCAACTTGGAGACTCCTGAATAATATAAAAATGCTCAGACTGCACTGTTGGGACTAATAACTAATCCAACCGTGCATCCATCAAGCAAACCCATCCACCTACATAACCAGAATGTAATAGTGGCTTTTCAAGGAAAACAAGATCATCTTCTAGCTTTTTTTAGTAACTGTCAGCTGTATTTTAGCATTCCCAATGCAGTCATTTTCATATTGACTCCCAGATGACTATTCAAGTACGAGTTGGCAGAAGCTGAAACATGTGCAAAACTACTCTGGGCAATATAATTAACAGCCATCAATCAATCAATAAAGGACAGTCATTAAAGAGTTGCTACAAGCCATTATTCACAATTCAGGAAAAGCTTTGACTTAGGAAAAAAAAATAGCAATAGTGAATTCTGATAGTGTAATAGCATTTCAGTCTATAAATGCTTAATAGAACAAATTAAAGAAACATTATTGTTCCTCACTGTATGGCAGATAACAGTGCTTAGCTGCAGGGGTAATGAACCAGCATTTGAACTGATATATCCCTCTTTTCTTCCTGACCAAGCTTCCATCGTAGATGTGACGTTATTCGCTACTTTAGTGACATGAACTTGCATGAAAATGTGCAAGTGGCACTTCTGAAAATTGGTAAGAGTAGCATCAGCCTGCTTTCTCCTAAACCTCTCAACTAGAGTATCAAATCCTGCATATATTAAAAATATATTTTTCACCATGAACAGAAAGGGGAATGTTTAGAGTCCTGCAGTTCACAAGTTCCATCTGTAATTACTCACCTCTGTGCGTTCACGCTGTATTCTTTGGTTCTCCACAAAACGAACTCTGTTGCGAGAGAACCTGTTGGAAGTTGCAGAGTTGAACGTTCATTCTGACATTGCTGTGATGTGGTTGATAAGAATGCGAAACCGGTTATCACCAGAGTTTGATTACCAAGGGGCTGCAGAGGCACCAAGCTTCTCCGGGGCATTTGTCTCTGCACTAGCAATTTGGGTCTCTCTCATCCAGAGCTGCGGTCCTCTGATGACCTGTACTAATACCAGTTAGCCTGTCTTGGGCTCATTTCAGGAGACAGCCATATGTTCTTCCAAAAGAAAACCAAGGTGCAGCTGTCAATGATGTTTGCCTGCGTTCATGGCAGGTAGGTAACTATGAACATGTACTGTGCCCAATCTGCCTCCTCCTGACCAGTTCCAACTGAGTGCCGGGAAGCCTGTCCTCAGAAGCCCCACATTCCCTGCCATCTCAGGACAAACCACACCCCTACTCTGGGACAGGGCCCTCTCATTAGTTCAGGCATTGGAAATACTTTTTAAAAAGGGAAACAAAAAAAACCCCATCTGCATAAATATGTATTTACTGGGAGTCATAACAGTGCTATGCTGGGTTCAGAGGAGACCCAGTCAGGTGATACTCAGCATCCATAAGGTCAACCTGTTTTTGAAGAGCCCGACTTTGTATGGCCATGAGACTCTACACAGCTGCATTTGCTATTCAGGGTTACCATACCGGTGAGGCCCACAAAGAAGGCAGAGAGGAACAAAGTAAAAAACCTTTCCAACTGCAGAACATAAAATAGTTATCTGAAAAACAGAGAACCCCAAAGTTCTCGAGCCACTAGAGGGAGCCCTCGTTACATCCGTAAGGCCAGTGTATTGCACAATGGTGATTGCTCCCGATTTAATTTGGGCTCTACATTAATAATCAGAAACAGAGAATGCAGCAGGACTTGTCTTCAGACAATACACACAGTGTGAAACAGATGCAGCTAGTTAAGATCTGTTTGTCCTTTACACAGCTCACTGTTCAGAGGGAGTTCCAAAGAAATCTGCAAACATTAACCGTATGCATTTTTATACTTACCACGTGTAAAGTGCAACGCATCGGCATCCAGAAGGCTCATTACACATAAGCTGTAACATTATAGCACTAAAACGCAGTAATCTTCTGTCCAGTTGCACAATGGCTAATTAATTGCTCCTTCAGTCATCAGGTGAGTCTTTCATAAGGAATTTGTTGAATTATACCCACAAGCTACTATTCATAATTCAAGAGGTTCTTGGCCTTGCCAGTGTTCCTCAGTCATAACACAAACGTGTGCCCACATCTGACTTCAGTGGGTTTACAGAAGGTGAACAGAATTCTCTTTGTGCTTTACTAAAACACAAGACTTGCTAAAGCGAGAAGTGAACACACATATCTTCCAGGCAGTTACTGTAAAATACACCAACACTGCTGCAGACGTAAGATTTAAGGATAAACAAAAAGTAAACGTTGTCGAGATTAGCCCCTAAGATTTGGCCATCACACTGAAGAATTAGCGATATTCTCAGTGCAGCATTCAGAAAAGGTTTACATAGAAAAGGTGACTAAACTCTCCTAGTCTGCCAGATTTAATCACAAACCATTGCACTTGATGCGTAATGATTTCCAGAACATTTCTTAGCCACGGAGGAGAAAAACTACTTAATGGGGAAGGGGTAGTTCCTATTGAACTATAATACTCTCCATGAGTATACTTGCTGGGATATTTTGGGGAATGCTACTAGAATTTTGAGTTTAAAATTAACTTCAGTTTTACTAGCAAGTAGTCACGCTAGCAATGATATAGTAGACAAATACCCAGGACGTTAACACAAGCACTGCAGTGTTTCCATGTGTGAAAGGAAAACATTTTCTGCTGTAAGACAAGTAGAACAGCGTGTTTCAATCCAGCTGAGAAAAGCAAGCGACCCTCTGAAGCATGCAATGAGGCAGAACGCTATTCCATGGCCGATTTCTGCAGTCAAGCTGTCAGAGTTGTTCAGAAAGGAGCACAAGTATTCTTTCCTGGAAGCGCACATGCACTTAAAGATAAGGAGACCGTCACCAGTACCAAAAGGGTTTGTAGCAGACTGATGACAAATTCACTGCACACTACCAAGAAGGAATGTCAAATTCCAAAGCAACTTCTGTTTGCATGCCTCCATCTGATTTCCTGTCTGTGTTTTTAACCTGCTTTACCCCATTCTCATGGTTTTCTAACTACCTTCACAAATTGTTTCCAAAGCATTTAGTCAGGGAAAAGCAAATACGAATTTTCTCTTTTTGCAATCACATTTCTTTTCGGGATTTAAGGATAAAATCTGTCTCCTCGTGGAGGATCGACTTAGATGTAGGGATCATCTGTGCCCACTAAGTGCGCTTATTCAGTTAGGATAGAACTGTGAGGAGAGAGGCTCTGCACTTACCTTTCATGTCCCAGGAGGACATTATTCAGGTCTTCATTTACTTGTATTAACTCAACTATCACATCTTCATTCTCCACTGTCACCAACAATTCCATGATCCTCTCCTGCATCATCCGACAGGTCTTATACAGTTTCTGCCCACAGCAGGGGAAGAAAAAACATAAAACCTAACTGTGGTCTCCCAGTTTGTCAGTTCTGGGGAAGAATACTAAGGCACTTCAGCACTGCAGACTGAGGGGGTAACGTTCCTTAATTTACATAAACTGCTTGCATACCAAACACTGCAAATAGCATCATTTTCATGTCTTTGATCTCTGCAAGGCAGGTTGACAACTCCTATCATCACAGCCAGCACATCCCTACCTCCTGACCCACCTTTATTTCTAAAGATGTATCTGTGTCTAAACTACAACTTGCAAAATAATGAGGAACCCTCTGAGTGATGCTGAGCAAATCTGATCTGATCCTGTTTGAAGCTGATCAAACTCAGCAGGATGCTTCATGTGGACGTGATGGACGCGATCCTGTTCAACATCTGCTTGAAGAACAGACAATAGTAGTCTAAAGGACAGAAGTGCTGTGACACGTCTCCACCTCTAACTGACCCTCTCAGTGGGGAAGTCTGAATGCACCTCCTGCCCTTGTTGAGAAAGTAACACAAACGTAGAAGGATCAGCTGATGGAGGATTGTGAGAGTTTACTGAGCAGAATTTTGCATTGTTGCCAGTTGAAATGGAAGATAGCTTATTTGTATTCCTCTCCGCTGCAGATTTTACATATTCTAAGAAACAAATTCTTTAGCAACAGGAACTTCAACTCAGCCAACATTTTTTCCCCCCACAGTGCATTTGCAAATGCTCGTTGGCTCCGCTTAAGGGGGAAAAAAAAGGGAGGGAGAAAATTACTCCACTTGCACGTTGCTATTCAGAAATTGCTCTGGTATTATTTCCAAAGTGATCTGATTTTTCCCCAAAATACATATGCTTCATGTAAATAAATGATTATATTTATCTACAAAGTAATTTTTCACCCTTTTGCAAAATCTGCATAAGGATTACAGAGTACTGTATCTTCATAGCCCAGGATAAAACACATAAAAATTAAATTTAAAACCTTTCCACTCCACTTTTTAGTACCTGATCCGCATTTAAAAAAAAATGTGTGTTTCTTACAGCTCCATTACACAGGCAGACTAACTCCTTTGTAAACATCAATATTCAATAGAAAAGGAAATTGAGACACCCATTTCAAGCACAGATTTCCTAGGCTTTGCTCCTACCCACAGTGGTGCATGCACTCTCTTGTTTTGAAAAATAGAGTTTTACGACGATGGACTACCAGCTGGTGTAACAATCACCAGTGATTCCAATGAATTTGTGCTAATCCTTACCAGCTGATGATCTGGACCCAACTTCCTGGATGTCCATCAAGCATATTGTGCTGGTTTTATAGTTCTGTTTACTATCCAGTATAAATATGTTATTCTTCTTGGCTGAGACTGAGCTTTAGCTATTCTTCAACTACTGCGCAAAATTTCAAGCGAGATCTACTATCTTAAGCCTTGTGCAAAACAGGGTGGAGAAAGGGAAGAGCCTGGCCACTAATGAAGCTACGGAACTGAAAATATGTTGCACTGACACAGTCTCCTCTGTTACAGTTTTTATTGAGAGACTCCAGATCATCAGCAGGACTGAAATTAATGTCTCCAATTTACTCAAAACCTAAAGAAGCAGCTCATTTAATAAAGGCCTTTGTTCTCTGACAACCAAAGCCTAATCCAAGCAGTCCAGGTAGAGTTACAAACAAAAGGGAACATTAAATATTGGTAAAAGAACAGGCTAGCCATGCTTGATGCTTTATACCACTCAGTGCACAGGGGAAAAGGACAGAAAGAACAAGAGTGAAATTCACATAGAAGGAATGAGTTTTCAGTCGCTCTCCCACAAATGGGAACTCCACACCCTGTCCTCAAACTTTTGCCAACAATTTTATTACTGGGAGTGTCAGTAAGAATTCACTGGTTTACTGTGGGCAACCTAATCTGCACACCCACATGCGTAAGGGCCGTAGTAGGAGACAGGAAACAAAAGACATACTTTTCTTGTTTCACAACCAGAAACACTTCTGTGGCCTGGGCAGAAATAGCCGAATATACTAAACCAGTGTATTCCCCTACCTGGTGTATCTTTCACAGGTTGGTTAAATCATTAAGGCCAGTCTGCACCTTGGCAACCTCCCTGGTGGCAGCAGCACTACAGAAGTACTGTGCATAGAACAGCCATGGATGAGCTGCTTAGGTACAGTCCATTGCTGGAACAACCTATTCTCAATCCTTCAGGGCAGGCAGAGCAAGTCCTCTGCAATCTACTGCAACAGCTATTTGCCCGTGTTTAAAGTCCACTCTCGTCAGACCCTTGCTTCTCAGACCCTTTGTCCTTGTTTCTCCACTAATCTCTGCAAAAGAGACAGTGTTGGAGATGCGAGTAAATTCCAGGGTAGCCAAAACCACAGAGGTTGCATCTGTCTCCTATCTGGTTCCCCCAGACCAGCAGCACTGCCTGTCATTAAAGATGAGACAGCGTGACAAACTGCTGCTGTCTGTCTCTCACCTCCAGTGGTGAGCCAATGGACACAGCGAAACAGCGTGACCTTGAAGGCAAACCAACAGCTCCTGTACGGGTTCCTTGCAAAGGAAGAATTCTCCACTGGGCAAGAGAAGCCCACCGAAGGCTTGCAATCATTAGATCAGTTCTCCAACACATTTAAGGCTGACAAGTGACCAAAAATGCTTCCTCATCACAGAAGTTCAGAGGTAAGTTTAGAAACCGAAGGGTGTGATAAAAGCTTTTTAAACTGTAGACAACACAAAACAGAAAAATGGCTATTGACACAGGTCACTATTGAAATGCTACAGTAATACTGCATTTTTGATTTCTAAAATAGGAAATATAGCAGGAGCAAGTAGAGGAAGTGACATGACTAAGATGAACGTCTGCTTGTTCACTGTCAAATCTAAACCTGACTATTGCAATACCCTTCCTGCAGGCTACACTTCAAGAGAGCATGGATTTATCTATAGCACAGCAAGCTCCCAATCTTTGAGATCACATACATAAAGCCAATGCTTCATATTCTTCACTGGCCTTCAGTCTGCCTTTAAGGTATTGTGGTAATAAAGAGAGCACTGAAAACTCCCGGACGGATACAAGAGAGAGACTGTCATCACCTACTTTCCCCACAGGGCAACCACGTTCAACTGGAATGTTCTCGGGGCTGTTTGACAGAACACGCTTAACAGAGAATGCTCCATTATGAAATTCCTTTGCCCTTGGAATTCCCTTGAGCTTGAATTTGCATTGCAAGCTGTCTTATCCTTTCCTGACTACCTAGATGTCAGGGGAAGGTGAAGGAGACAAGAAAAAGCTGAGCAAAACCAGATAGAAACCTGTTGTTGGATTCCATTTGGCAATATGAATCCAGATGTTAAAAGAAAGGTTAGAACGAATTTTAAAAATCAACTTTGACCCAACCAAAGCAATACCCTCTACCAATGAATCACTGCATACCTGTAAAAGATTCATATCATCCGGATTTTCAGAGCCAGGAACATTTTCTTTTAATATCGATGACATGACTCTCACATTCATTTTTGCCATATCCAGTTCACTGTACAGTTTCCCAATCTGCCAAGTTCAACGTGACAGAATATTGTGCAGGTTACCAGAGTGAGCAGAATAATTCTTACCTCTAACATATACTTTCTTCCCCATTAGGTATAATATGGGCCAAATTAGCATTATTCTACTCCAGTGACATGCCATGAAAACAAATGGCATTAGCTCAGCTTTTATATGTGCAATCAAACTAAGATCCAAGTCTGATAGTACTACTTGTTTTCCTTACAGTTAATCCCTCTCACTGATGTTACTCTTCTTAGTTACTTACAGGCCAAGAAGAAATGGAAGTGAACTGTCCTTTCCTTTCTGCTTTTTAGAATGATCTCTTCACACAAGTCTTACACATAAGTAATTTTGGCTTTTTCATTTATCTTTGAGGTAACTTTATGAATTTGCATAACATCCTAAGAGATTCCACTTTCTGGTCAAGGTACAGCCTGGCATTTATCGTACTCACTTCCCCCTACTCTGCTTTGGCCCACCACCCCATAAAACCTCCTCAGGAGAAGAAAAGCTAAAATTATGATTAGAGAATGATGCCAGTTGGACTGATCATCCCCTTCCAGTGATCTGTGCACCCAGGTTGTTGAAATCACACATTATCAGCACAATTCAAGTAGACCCGCTCCCCCCCAAACCTGTAATACTGCACCTGCTCAGGAGTCAACAATAATGCTGGGCCTGTGGGAAGAGGCAATAAAGAACGTTTTGCAGGATTAGCAGAAGATGGTGATGACTTCGTAGAAGGCTGAGATGAAGCCTGCAGAAAGACAAAAGAGCAGAGCTTGGGTTTAAGAAAAGGATTGAAGCAGACATCCAGATAAGAGAGCTACAAAACACCTCTGTCAGACTAGACAACTAAGCATTAGCTTTCCCATAATCAATGCTCCCAGGGAATTTGTCTACTTACAAGAAAAAAAATCTAATGGCTATTTTGTAATGAAATGAGGCTTGGAATTCAGATACCTTTTAAATGGGTTTCAAAGCAAATTTCATCTCCTGAGCTCTCAAGCCATCTAACAGACAAGAGTCTTTCCAAAAGTGCCACTGCAATTTTACAATGAAGAATAATTTAAAGCAAGATGACACTTGGAAGCAATGGAAAGGTTGAGGGAGTTTAAGTCTGGGTTTCTACAAAAGATGAACTACAAAGGCCTGGATTGAAAAGCTGGAACACTTCATTTGCAGAAAGCTTCACTTGTATCACATTTGAATTGACTACTGTAAAAACACCCATCCAAATCCAAAAACTCACATTTGAATTGACTACTGTAAAAACACCCATCCAAATCCAAAAACCAACTTGCACGAGACTACACACTTCAAGTCCTTCATTTCCTACAGACTGAGCTAAAAATTGTGTTCAGGTCTGCTATTGCTGAGATCAATGGAAGGTTTGCCACTGATTTTAATTGGCAGATACATGTGGCAGACAGAATCAACTCTACTGTCCTTGGTGAGAAAAAAAAAAATGTCTACTGAGAGCATTCTTCACAAGGTTTAAAGCCACATTTAAATATATAAGCTTTTGTATACTCAACTATTCAATCATCAGATCAAACTCAGAATAAATCTGATTCATTCCT